AAGCTGTGGTCCACCCAGAGGACTTGCTCCAGACTCATGGAACACATCCGTGACAGCAGCGGGACACCTGGTACACACGCGACAGCCACAAAACTACATTCCAGGACACAAATGTCAAACGTAAGAGGTCTGAAATAATAGTGAGTATATTTTCTGGCCACAGTGGATTTAAACTAGAAACCAATAATTGAAAAATTTCTGGAAAATCCCCAAATAACTGGAAGTTAGAAAACACATTTCTAAAAACACAAGTCAAACATATCACAAGGGAAATAAAAAATACTTTGAACTGAATGAAAATAAAAACACAACATATGAAAATCTGCGGAACTCACTTAAACCAGTACTTACAGGGAAATTTATAGTCCTAAATGCTCACATAAGAAAAAAAAGACCTTAAAAATCAATATTCTAAACTTCCAGCTTAAAAATAAAAGAAAAAGAACAAATTGAGCCAAACAGAAAACAAAATATTAATAAGATAAAAAAGGTGGCTCTTTGAGAAGACCATTAAAATTGATATATTTATAGCTGAACAGTTCCTAAAGACATAGAAAGGGTAATAAAGTAATATTATAAAGAGCTTTATTCCAACAAATTTTAAAAAACGAATACAGAGGGCACATTCCTCAAAGACACGAACCACCACAGGACACTTGGGAGGAAATGGCAGGCCTGCATCCGCGAAAGAACGCAAATCTGCAGTTACAATTTTTCGGACAAAGAAAACTCCTTGCTTAGATGGCTTCATTAGTGAATGATACTAGATCTTTAAGGGGAAAAGAATATCAATTCTATGTAAACTCTTCTAAAAAAGCAGGAGAGGAGGAAACCCCTCTCGTCTTTCAGGAGGCCCTGACACCAAACCTAGAGAAAGATCTAGAAAACTATAGCTCATATACATCATGAATACGAAGGAAACAATCCTTAGTGAAATTTAGTACATTAAATCCAATAATGTATTAAAATAATGATAACCAACTGGAATTTATCCTAGCAACACAACATTTATTTAATGTTTTAGTACTGATTGTTGTAATTCATTATTTTAAGACTAAAAAAGAGACAGCACAAGAACAATTCAAAAGACATTTAAAAACCCACCTGACAGAGTTCAATACAATTCATAATAAAAAAAATCTCGTTTTAGGGTCAGAGAAGCACACCTACCACCAAATGGTAGGCACCTATAGAAAATCTTCAGCTTGGCCGTCCGCTTAATGACAATGAACGCAACACGTTCCCCTCTTGAGATAGGGAATGAGGTAAGGTGTCTTCTCTTCCCATTTCTCAACAAAGCACTAGAGGTCCTAGCTAATGTAATAAGACAAGTCAAAGAAATAAAAGGCATATAGATCGCAAAGGAGGAAGTAAAATTCTTGATGATCCCTAACTGTTCCTTCATCCCAGCAACCCGAGGAACACGATGCGCTCCCACAAGTGGCGGAGGAGGCTCACTACTGCAGTGACTTCGGGGGCCGCGTCCTCCCTGGCATGTGTGTATTGTGGGGAGAGGGGCCCTGGGCATGTATACGTCTGAACACAGCTTCAGCTTTGAAAATCCCTGTTATGGGTACACCTGTGGCCACCAAATGACTAAGGGCCTCGAGCAAGAGTATAGGGCCAGAGGGGTCCAACTGGGACCGTACAGAGAAAGGGAGGGCCAGGGGATGAGGAAGCAGAGGCAGCTGAAGGAAGTGCCCACGGAGGTGAGAAGATAAGGAGAGTGCAGTGCAGCGCAGTGCAGTGCAGGCAGGAAATCGGGCACTTTGCACCTGAGAACCTCAACTCTTCCATCTGGGCCGCCTCTCTCATTTACATTCCGGCCAGGCCCCTGTTGGCACTGGATTTTCCAGCTTCTGGAGGGGTTAAAGGCAGTACTTGAATCTTAAAGAATAAACAGGCAGTCACGGAAGGGACAGAGGAAAGCCCTGCCTCCAGAGCCAACAGAATGTGGGGAGCACACTGGTGCGGGAAGGGTATCACCTGGTGTGAGTGTGGGGGGGGCAGCATGGAGAAAGCAAGTGGAACTGAGGCTGGGCCCACACTCGGACAGGTCTCTCTGGCCTGGTCCTGAGCAGGGAGATCAGACTTATTTTGAAGAAGCTCTGACAACAGAAGTGAGTGCCGACTAGAGTGACAGCCTGTGTGGCACAGCGGTCCGGGCAAGGCAGGAAGAGGGCAGCCTGGGCCCAGTGATTGGGCACAACTGGCACGAACAGGCCTGGGGAAGTGGACTGGGAGGGCAGAGGGGGTGAGGACAAATGGCACCTGATCACACTGCTCCTACCAAACACCAACACTCACTGCACACCTCCTGTGCACACCCAGTGTAACCAAATTCTCCCAACTGCCCCAGGTGGTGGGCACAACTACCACTGCCCTACCTGCAACGGGGAGGCTCAGTCAACTGCCTGGAAGTTCTCCCAGCTGGCACGTGGCCACGGTCCAGATTTAAGTCCTGGCAGGACAGTTCTTCGGGGCCCATGCTCTCCCCCACTTGACATGCTGGGCCCATCAGGGAAGGCCATGAGTATGGGAGAGAGGTGGGAGGAACAAGGTCCAGGTCATGCGCTGCAAATAAAGGCCTGGCCTTAAGGACGAAGACCGGAGAAGGTGACCCAGAGTCTGGCTACACGGTGGAACTGAGCCGTGGGAGGACACATGAGCAGACCAGCCTCGGGGAGACTGCCCTGGACGGAGCATGTGGGAGGAGGAACGAGAGAAAACAGTGAAGTGGCAGGGCCACCGACACAGAAGAGAACCAGGGAAGAGACGGGTTCCACTCCCAGACGCCCTGGGACCCGGAGCCGGCCTCGGACCTGGGACCTGGAGGGGCCTGCTGCCTCTCCAGCCTCCCGGCCACCCTCTCAACACGCCCTGCCCCCCTGCTACCCATCACAGCCCTCAGCACCACCAGCTAGTTAACTTCTGTTCTTCAAAAACTTGTCCCCCTAAAACTTTTTATTGAAGTATAATCTACTCATTTTTCAGTATTTAAATGTCAGAGCTTTTAAGTACTCGATACCTTTACTATTCCCCTTAAAAATGAGTCATTCCCTGGAGCCCAGGTAAGGCCTCTTAGAAGCTCGCTCACCCCACACTTCTTTGTAGCCAGGAAATAAATCACTTCCTGTACACAGGTTACAGAATATGTCTCTCCTCCTTATAGGCCAGGTCCATGAAAGCAGGAACCAAGCTTATCTAAATCAGGGGTTGGCACATTTTCCCCAAAAAGGGCCAAACACTAAGTGTTTTCAGCTTTGTGGGCCTCAGTCATGAGTTTTTGACCCTGTCACTCATTGTAGCCTCAAAGCCTTGGAGACAATATGTGAATGAATGGGTGTGACTGTTTCAATAAAGCTTTATTTACAAAAAAGGAAAGTGGGCCAATGGGCCACAGTTTGTTAATCCTGGGCCTAAAAATCACCAGCAGGCAGTCTAGCATCTGGCATATGTGGCAGGCACGCAATGAATGAAGAAAGGGAAGAAAAGCCATTGGTCTTGGTAGTTACAGGGAAATGGTGCTCAGGGAAGCTGGTTTTAGTGGTGGGGGGGGGTGAATTGAGACAGCAGCAGCCTGAAGACTGAGCAGCAGTTGAGGAAGTAGTCACTTCTCTTTCAAGGGCTCCACAATGTGGGCAGCAGGTTTGGGGAGCAGTGCTGTCTCCCAGGAGCACGTGTGCATGCTGCAAGAGAGGCAGGGCGGGACAGAGCAGAGAGCTGATAAGAGGGGAAGCGAAGGCTGCAGGGCTCAGGCTTGGGGGGGGGGTTCAGCAGTGAAGGAGAAAGACACTGGCTGAGGCTGAGGGAATAATGAAAAGTGGAAGGAAATGAGGGGCGAGCCTTGAATTCCTCTTTGCTGTGAAGTAGGAGCCAAGACCGTCTGTCTGGGGAGGAGAGGAGACTTAGGTCAAGAACCCAGCTCACAGCACACAGCACACAGCAAGCAGGAGGAGGTGGACACCAGGGCAGGGCTTCGGGCACACAGGTGCGGGAAACACACCCTTCGTCTCTCCTCCCTTCTTTGAGGGAGCCCTTGGGTGCTTCAGAGCTGTGTTTTCAGCTCTGCCTAGGTGTCTGGTGTGTCACTCACTGAGTCACAGGCACTAGCTGCTATCACTTCCCGTCACTTCACTTTCCCAAGCAGGCACCAACAGGTAGGCCCCAAGGAGGGTGAGCTCACCCTTTAAACACGTGGACATGCCCAGTTCTCTTCTGAAGGACAGTGAAAGGCACTTGCACTTTGGAAAGTGAGTGGAGTGGGGGTGTCATCTCCAGGCCTTCCTATTTGGATGTGTGTGCAGGAAAACACTTCTCTATAAGGGAGAACAGACTTTCTCTTTAAATGGAAGAAACCACTCGACTGGGGGTTTGCAATAGAAATCACATAACAGCTCTGGTTTTAGAAGCCTAATATAATATAAAAACCTACAAAACACAACTCACAGAGAAAGTATTAGTATTATGATATTCAAATGCCCCAAAAAGCTTTTTTTTTGCATGTCAAAAACCTGCTACCAGTCAATGTCACTTACCCAAGGAACCTAGACACCCTGAAAATCTTCCATTTTGGCATTCGCTTATTAGTTCATTATTACTACTGGAGTAGGGAAGTGTGAGAAGGGCTTGGGACCCGCTCCCCTACGTCTCAGGAAGAATGAGAAGCACCTGCGCATCCTCTGGCCAACGCGCCTGAAAACACAGACCCGTTTTCACCTGCCCTCTTTTCTGTGTAGCTGCTATTGATATACAGATGGAAGGTTCTTCGCATGTTTTGGATCTTAATTCCCATTTTCCTTTTAAAGTTTTCAGTCCTCACAAATCAACAGGTAATTTTCTTAAAACACAGCAAGCCTCAGTGTGCCCTTCCGAGTCCTTCCGGAAATGATGGGAACCAGTGTCTCTGAATTTGCTATCGTGTACCCCTGGGACACGCTCTTTATTCAGAAGGCCTTTCAACACACTGTGAGATGTATATGCAACAAACAATCTCTTACCCGATAGTTGGGTTGATGTTTGGGTCAAAACTGTCTTCCACGAACCGCCACACAATACTTGATTTACCCACACCCGTGTCCTGGAAGAGAATGAGGTGGTGGGTAAGGTTCACCTACCTGCAGACCTGAAAACTACCTTGCGGGGTAAGTTCAGAACTTTAGGAAACTCATGTCGGATACGTTTTAGAAGCTAAGGGGTACAAAGGAGGTTTCCACAAAGATTCAGTGGGAGTCATGAGATTTCGAATGTATTGTGGGAGAGGATTTCGCAGTTTTTAAGAAATGTTAGGACCTTTCGAGAAAGACTCAAAGTGCCTGCTTCGCGTTAACAGCGATAAACTCACTTGCTTCTTAACCGTACAAAGTAAACTATGGACTCTTGATTTCCTTCTGGGTAGTCCCGGGCAGACTCCAGCCTCACCCTGCTTGGGAAGGGGACAGATTAGATCTAGGGATCCCTTGGGTTCCTGAGCAGCCTCTCGGGCAGGGGGGCAACCCAAGACGCAGGCTCTGCACTGGCATCGCTGCCCGGACCAGACAGGAAGCGGCAGCGTCAGTCTTGGGGTTTCCTCACTTAACCGCCCCGCCCCCCGAAAAGTAACTGCCAAAGTGTCAGGGTAGACCTACAAGTTCAAAAACACCAAACAGTCGGGGAAAGAGCTGCATGTGCTTGAAGAAGCGAAGGACCTGCTATGGGTTCTCCTCTGGGAGTACCTGGCCAACTCTATCTAGTGCCCAGATAGGAAACTTAACAGCTGTTCAGAACTTAGACGGAAGGGAGCGGCAGGGCAGGCTCGCTACCCCTCGGGGGGCGGGGAAGAGACCTCCAGCTCCAGGAGAGACAGGGAGAAGGTCCCCCTTGCCCGCGGGACCCTGAGCACCAGGGCAGCAGGGCGGGTCCGGGCAGGTAAGCGGCGTCCCGCGAGCGGCTGGGGGCAGGGGCGGACGGGACGTGGGCACGCCTGGATCCCGGCCCACCCGGCCTCCCGCGGCCCTCCCGGCCGGCCCGCCGCCACTCACCCCCAGCAGACACACTTTGAGCTCCCTCAGCGCCATGGCCCGGGAGCCTGGGCGCGGGCCCGCCGCGCCCGCCGCCGCCCTAAGTTGAGGAGGGACAGGCCAGGCCCAGTACGGGCATTCCCCGGCGCCGCCGCCGCCAGGCCCAGCCCCGGCCGCGGGGCGCGTAGAGGCGGCGACCGCCTGTTCGCTGGCCCTCGGCCCGGCCGTCCGCCGCCAGCCGCGCGGGGGCCGTCTCAGTAGCCGGGAGGGTTCCGCGGCCTCCCGAGCGCCTCCGCCGCCGCCATCTTGGGACGCCGGCCGGGTCACCTGACCTCCCCGCCCACCACGGCAGCCACCTTCGCTGAGAGGGCGGGGCGGGCCGGCGCCGCGATGCTCCCGGGAAGGCGCTGGCCCGTGGGCGGGGCTAGGAGTCCGAGGCCACGCCCCCAGACGCAGACCGCGCCTCCAAGTCCATCCTAAGATGGTGGGTACGTGGGGCAGCGGTCCGGGGGCGCGGTTGCCGGGCCCCTCCTCCTTAGCGGCGACCACCCTGCGAGGCTCAGGGACCCTCGCCCACCGCCGAGCCCAGCTACTGCAGCCCCCTCATAGCTCCTGTGTCTCTTGGTTTTCAGAGATCCCCTTGTACTTTGTGGACTTGCAGGATGACTTAGAGGATTGTAAGTAACAGTTGGGGCGTCCCTGCCCCTCTCTGGGAGCGTCTCAGAATCCGGGGTGCATGGAACGCGGGGTGGGGTGCTACAGGTGTGAGACGGGTTTAAGACCCATTCTTCTACTTTTCAGGAAGAATGAAAACCATCTAAAAACTAGAGGAGCGGGATACCCAATTGTCTTGATGCGCTGGTGGCGGTCCCTCCTCCCTGGGCGGGGCGGCGGAGGATGGGGAGCCCTCCTTTCCCGGGGTTAGGAGTTTGGTTGCTATGAAACTTATGACTTGCTGTCACTTTCTTTTTCTTCCTCCTCCTCCTCCTGCGGCGGTGGCAGCCCGAGAGGGGCGGGGTCGGGACCCCCAGGGTCTGCACTTTTACGAGTGCTGGAGAGTTGGGGAGGTCCCGCTCTACGTGTGGCCGGCCGTAGAGTAGCACAGGCTTCCCCAGTGCCCTGGTACAAGCCCAGTGCCTTCTCGTCCCAGGCTGGTCACTGGCGCCCACATTTCTCAGTGGGTCTCCTTCACAAGACCTTACCTGATCTCTCCTTTCTTGTCATGTGGAATCCTCTTAAGGGCGGATGACCTGGGGAGATGTCATCCTGGAAGCGTAAATTCACATTTGTGGCTAATGAAGCTTTCCTTTCCATTCCACGGACGTTTCTTGAGCACTTACTTGTTCTGGACCCACCCAGATGAACCAGAATCTGGGCGAGCTCTCAGGGAACTTAGTCTCCAGGCGGAGAGCCCACTTGTAGGCAGAGAATTACCTAATTCCGGATGCTCTCTGATGCCAGGCGCCTGTATAAAATACCGAACCAACTCACATGAATGGAAGTCTCCCTGTGCGCTTCCCTTCCCCACCTATAAGTTTCCTGATCATAAGAGTTGGTGTTTATTGAAATCTCATCACAGGCCAGGCATAGTTTTAAACCCTTTATGGATGTTGCCTCTTTTAGGAGCAGCAACTTTTTGCAAATAGAATGGTCTCCAAAGGGGATCTAAAGGCGATGGCTAGGAGCATGGGTCTCAGAATCAGAGGGTGAAGTCCTGTTCCCCTCCGAGCCTCACTGGCCTCATCTGTAAAATGGGCATAATAGTGGTCCAGAAAGACCTTTGTAAAGGTTAAATTAATAAAAGGTTTAGTGTGATGCCTTACATGTAAGAAATACTTGGTAAATATTAGTTGCCATGATTACTGTTATTCATGTGATTGTTATCCATATTTACTTGACACTGGTGAACCCAGGTACAGTGTAGGCCCCAGGTTCTCTGAGCTGAAAGTTTCAGCCAATGGACATCCTCAAATGAAAGGAATGTAGCATTTCTATTGATAAACAACGGAGAGCTGCTGTTAAGGCCCCTCTCACAGATCTGATAAATGTCAGATCTATGGCTGGAAAAGTCAATTTCTGCTGTTTTGTTATCTACCAAGCTACCCCTAAACGTAGTGTCTTAAACCAAAAGCATTTTATTATTCTAACACGCAGGGGTTGACTGGGAGATACAGAAGCTTCACGTGTTCCAGTTAAATTCTGAGGAGGTGAGAAGCTTTGAGTTGGCTTCACTCCCCTCCCTGGCTATGGGCCAGGAGACCGGTGGGCGTTGGCCCCTGGGTACTCCAGGTGCCTCCTTCACTGAGCTGGGTTGGGGGGGTCAATTTTCAGGGTGGGGCGGCTGCAGGCAATTGGACCGCTTTCCCGTAGCTGACTTCCTCCAGTCTTTTCTGTACACAGTGTATATACAAAAAGGAAGTAAGAGAGTCCATCGGAAAAATGACGATGATTTTACTTTGGCCCTATTTCAGCAAATACTGGGGTTTTGAGGCTTGTGTTACTTTAGAGTGTTCAAAGACGGCCTTAAATACTCTTTAGCAGACAGCTGAAGACTTAGCCCAGTAAGGAAGGAAAGCTCCGCTGTGGCTCTGAACATACCCGTGCCTCAGGTGGCGCAGCTCTGGGAGCCTCCACAGAGGGGGCCGCGGGGTGCTGTACCGCATGACCTTGCACGGCATAGTTGCTCTAACAGCCATCAATAATTTATGCTGCCCTTGGCCTGTCTGTACACTCTACTGTGCTGGTATTGGGAGGCATTATCCTGCCATGATTGGTAGCAGGAGCCCTGAGGTCCTGGGACCCACTTCCTACCTGTGGCCGTGGGGAGGGGGGGGGAGAGCACTCACTCTCTCTGTTCAGTGTCTCCCTCTGGAAGGTGACAGGAGAGTAGGAGGTGACTCACACACAGGCTGATGGGAGGGGCAGATGAGATAGTGCATGTAAAGCATTTTAGCCCAGGGACTGACTGGCACAATGAGCATTATAGTCAATGATTTTGTTATTATTATTTTAATCACCATCATTATCGCTAGGCTTCCTCGTAAGATTTTCTGATTCTGCGACAGCAGCTGCTACGAGTAGATGGGAGGTAGATGGGGTTATTCCTATGTCACAAATGGTGAGACCGAGAGTCAGGGCTTAAGCAAGTTGTCCCACGTGGCACGATTCATAAATGATAGAACTGGCCAGCGAACTCGGCTGTCCTGACTCTTGTTTGTTTTAATCCACCACACAGACGCCAAAAATATTTTTAACCCCGTGGCAGGGGCATGGGTGTTGCTTTGAGTTGTTCTAAGGCTGTTGTCATCCTTGGGTGTTTGTTTTTTTTGTTTTTTTTTTTTTGTCTAAACAATGTGCTAGACGCTCCGTCTAGGCTACAGATGGCTTTGGGCCGGGACCCAGGTCACCCTTTTTATAACCCAGTTGACATGATCTAGGTGTTCAGTTAATGTTGTTATTGGTGACAGTAACCGATGGGAAAGCTTATCTGATTTACTTTGTGGTTCTTGATTAAATTTGGCTAACTTCAAAAAGAAGCCTTAATGAATGGATGCCTCGTTTCTTTAAATCATTCCAAGTCTTGGGGCCATCGCAACTCAGAAAAGATTTAATTTTAGAGAATTAGCTCGCTAAGCAATCTAACTTCTTCCTCGTGAGAGCAGAAAGTGTGGGGATGGCTGGTACATTGGTCCTGCTGGCGGATTGCATGTGGACAGTGAGCTGTGTTCATCTTCGCCAAAGGGGGCTTCAAGGCCTGTGGCTGTCTGGGTGCTCTTGGCAGGTGGAGCCTGAAGAGATACTATTCTTGGTAAGATTTGCTCGTCCAGTTAAAATGAAGTGTGTGTCAGTGGTGGGGGACAGGAAATGAAGGGAATCTACTAGAGATACAAAGAGACCAAGAAATCTGGCAACAAAGTGCAGTATGTGGTCAAGTTTGGATCCCCAGTGAGACAAACCCCTTGAGGGAAACTGAGCTTCTCTGGACTGGCTGTTAGATTGATTACATTAAGAAATTTCGTCGAATCGGATTGTGGTGTTGCAGTTTTGTCGGAAGGAGAAAGGGCTTATCTAACAGAAACAAACACGCATTTACGGGTGAAATATTTTGGCGTGTGAGGTCTGCCTTGAAATATGGCAACAAACACCAAACAAAAAGTCGGAAGGATAAATGGGGAAAAATAGCCAAATATTGACATTTGCAGCTGGTGGCTGAGCATGTGGGGTTTATTGGACTGTTCTGTTTTCGCATACCTTTGAACATTTCCACAATGCAAAGTTTTCAAACATGACATGAGAGTCTGGTGTAGGGTTAAACACCTGCAGAAAGTGTTGGAAAGCCGGATGGCAGTCCTGGAGTCGGCTGCGAAGTTACTTTTGGAAACGTTCCACTTCTGAAGGCAGACTCAGAATGTATTAGTATTTGGGGACCACTGCGCTTCTTTTCAAATGTTTCACATTTTAAGACTTACTGTGAAAGAAGTGGGAAGTAGGTACAAACGGGTGTTCTCTGGGCCTTGGTGGAGGACAGGATTGGCTAAGTCAGAGGACCACAGACAGACTCTCTGAGTCTTAATGCTGGAAGGAACAGTATTAGTGGGAGATTTCCTCCTGAGCAAAAAGAGGTCCATTTCAGCTCACCACATTGTTCCAGGTTTGTAAGAATGTTCTGCTTAAGGACCCCGACCAAGTCAAGTGCCCCCAAAGCAGAGAAACCATATTAATTTGAGCCTAAAACCAAACACTTTCCTCGCCTATAAATTTGAATCAAAGATTGTCAATTTTTTAGAAATAAAGACCTCCCTGTTAAGTGAAATAGTTTGAATAGGAACAGGAACTTGCGTATGTTAATTTTGGGAAATAGAACAAAATCCAGACATCAAACTATTGTCTAAATCAAAGATGGGCAAATTTTTTTCCTGTAAAGGGTGACAGAGTAAATACAAGGGGGACCCCCCAAAAAAGTAGGATTCTATTCTGGAGGGCAGGCCCCTTGTAGTACAGGCTTCTCCTCCTAGGCCAGTGTTCTCGGAACCCACTTGTATCCGTGTACCAGCTGGCGTTGTTGTGAGAGGCTGCATTTGGCTTCAGTGGATTTTTTTTTGAAGACTCTTTTCAGTGTGTTTGCCCATTTCATGATGGTTGATTTACGAGTGCACCTGCTGGGTGTTCCGGAAGTTTTTACTTTACCGAAAACATCATGACCCCCTGGGCCTCACCCTCTCTATTCACCTCACCTCACCCCCTAGTGGCTTTTATTTTGTTTCCCAGGATGAAAAAAGTCATTAAGGGGAAACATTTTGCCAATGCAAAAAACAGCAGAAGTGCTAAAAGGCGCCCCAATCA